TCACATTCCTTTTAAGTTGTATTCCTAGGTATTTTATTCTCTTTGTAGCATTTGTGAATGGGAGTCCACTCATGATTTGGCTGTTTGTCTATTATTGGTGTATAGGAATGCTTGTGAGTTTTGCACATTGATTTTATATCCTGAGACTTTGCTGAAGTTACTTATCAGCTTCAGGAGATCTTGGGCCGAGACGATGGGGATTTCTAAATATACAGTCGTATCATCTGCGAACAGAGACAATTTGACTTCCTCTCTTCTTCTTTATTTCTTTCTCTTGCCTGATTGCTCTGGCCAGAACTTCCAATATCATATTGAATAGGAGTGGTGAGAGAGGGCATCCTTGTCTTATGCTGGTATTCAAAGGGAATGCTTTCAGCTTTTGCCCATTCAATGTGATATTGGCTGTGGGTTTGTCATAAATAGCTAGTCAATGCCTAGTTTATTGAGAGTTTTTAGCATGAAGGGGTGTTGAATTTTATCGAAGGCCTTTTCTGCATCTGTTGAGATAACCATGTCATTTTGGTCATTGGTTCTGTTTGTGTGTTGGATTATGTTTATTGCTTTGCGTATGTTGAACCAGGCTTGCATCCCAGGGATGAAGCTGACTTGATCATGGGATAAGCTTTTTGATGTGCTGCTGGATTTGGTTTGCCAGTATTTTGCTAAGGATTTTGCATGGGTGTTCATCAGGGATATTGGCCTGAAATTTTCTTTTTTTGTTGTGTTTCTGCCAGGTTTTGGTAGCAAGATGATGCTGGTTTCATAGTTAGGAAAGGGTTCCTCATTTTCTACTGTTTGGAATAGTTTCAGAAGAAATGATACCAGCTCCTCTTTGTACTTCTGGTAGAATTTGGCTGTGAATCTGTCTGGTCCTGGGCATTTTTTGGTTGGTTGGGTATTAATTACTGCCTCAATTTCAGAACTTGTTATTGGTCTCTTAAGGGATTCAACTTCTTCCTGCTTTAGTCTTGGGAGGGTGTATGTTTCCAGGAATTTATCCATTTCTTCTAGATTTTCTAGTTCATTTGCGTAGACATGTTTATAGTATTTTCTGATGTTAGCTTGTATTTCTGTGGGATCAGTGGTGCTATCCTCTTTATCATTTTTTATTGTGTCAATTTTATTCTTCTCTCTTTTCTTCTTTATTAGTCTGACTAGCAGTCTATTTTGTTAATCTTTTCAAAAAAATCCAGCTCCCAGATTCATTGCTTTTTTTTTTTTTTTTGAAGGGTTTGCTGGAGAGGATATGGAGAAATAGGAACACTTTTACATTGTTGGTGGGAGTGTAATTAGTTCAACCATTGTGGAAGATGTGGCGATTCCTCAAGGATCTAGAACAAGAAATACCTTTTGACCCAGCAATCCCATTACTGGGTATATACCCCCAAAATTATAAATCATTCTACTGTGAAGACGCATGCACATGTATGTTTATTGAAGCACTGTTCACAGTAGCAAAGACTTGGAACCAACCCAAATGACTATCAGTGATAGACTGGATAAAGAAAATGTGGCACATATACACCATGGAATACTATGCAGCCGTAAAAAACAATGAGTTCATGTCCTTTGCAGGGACATGGATGAAGCTGGAAACCATCATTCTCAACAAACTCACACAGGAACAGAAAACCAAACCCCTTATATTCTCACTTATAAGTGGGAGCTGAACAATGCAAACACACGGACACAGGGAGGGAAGCATCACACACCAGGGCCTGTTGTGGGGTGAGGGACTACAGAAGGGATAGCATCAGGAGAAATACCTAATGTAGATGACGGGTTGATAGGTACAGCAAACCAGTATGGCACATGTATACCTATGTAACAAACTTGCACGTTGTGCACATATATCTTAGAACTTAAAGTATCATTTTAGAAAAGAGAGAAAAATGAGATTTCCAGTAAATTTTATACTTCCTTTGGGCCATTGAAATCAGGCAACAGATGAATAAATTAGGCAAGTGAGAGTCAGTGGCTTTACAGGAAAAAGGTCAGCTATAATTCAGCTTAGACATCCCTGTGCTATGACCCCAGTGATTTTTATTACTAATTAGTCAGTAATTCCCGAAGTGTGGTAGCTTACTACCCAATGAGTTGATTCCTCTGTTGGACAGAATCCATTGTTAGACGATTCTTTCTTTTGTTGATCTGAAGTCTGTTTCTTTTGTAACTGGCCTTGGCTCTTTTTTTCATTGGCGAGGGGTGCCTAATACATAATAGGCCTGTTGGTTGTATTGCTCCATTAGGATTTGCTTCTTCAGCTTAAAGCTTAGTTTCCTTGGTCTTACTCCATATAACATGGGTTTTGAATCCTTTACAGCTTGATTGTCCTTCCCTGGGGGTATTTCATTTATCAGTATTTCTCTTAAAATGCAAGACCCAGAGCTAGTAACTGACCATGTTTCACTTAATCTGCCAGTGGAAAGGTTGCATAGTAAAATGTAAAAAACACTTGCATTTTAGGGTAGTATGTCATTAATTAACACTGTAATTAATATTTGGTTAGTCACTTTGAGCCTAATTTTACTCAAATAGAAGATTAGCCAACACTAATAAAAGGTTAGTAACAAAGCTTTCTTGATATGGTAAATTTTGAGAAAAAAAGTATATCAACATTCATGCTAAAAATCAAATTCTTGCTAATGTTGACCTTAGTCAACTAATATGAAAATCTAAGGAAATAATTCTAAGATCATTTCATTGACATTACACTTAGTATTATTTATGTACTCTTAATAATATCTTGGGGGAGGTTAGCTTTATTGCCTTCAACTAACAGTTTCTTTTAGGTATTGCATATAATCTAGCTGTTTATATTTGATGTCTATTTTCTAATTTAAGTATTTGTTATGAAGAATAACTGTCACCCATTTTACTGATTTCCTGGTATAACCAAATTAATTTTAGTTTTCTTAAGTTTTTTTCCTTTTCTTTTTTCTTTCTTTCTTTTTTTTTTGAAACAGAGTCTCACTCTGTTGCCAGGCTAGAGTGCAGTGGCACAATCTCGGCTCACTGCAACCTCTGCCTCCCTGGTTCAAGCTATTCTCCTGCCTCAGCCTCCCTAGTAGCTGGGACTATACGTGTGCGCCACCACACCAAGCTGATTTTTTCATTTTTAGTAGAGATGGGGTTTCACCATGTTGGCCAGTTGGTCTCCATCTCTTGACCTTGTGATCTTCCTGCCTTGGCTTCCCAAAGTGCTGGGATTACAGGTGTGAGCCACTGCACCTGGCCCTAAGTCTGTTTTATATAACCTCACCATTTTGATTTGAAAACGTTCCCAGAATCTTTTTTGTAGTCCTCGATCTGTATTCAAGTTTCATGTGTACCACTGAGAAACTTTCGGTTCTCGGGCAGATCATTTAACTGGCCTCTACACACATTTCTTCTTCTGCACAGTGAGAGGCTTTTACTTCTTTAATTCTCCTCCTCTCCCCATCCTCTATAGCAGCCAGAAGAAATCCAAACTCACCTCTGCCCATATCTTCAACCTCTGCCTTCTGCAGTATACCTTTTATCTGTACAGGCTACTCAGGTTTTTTTCACAGCATTTCACAGTTTATGTGTGTTTTTGCTTTATTTACTTGTTTCCCCCACTAGACTAGATGCTTGATGAAGGCAGATAATGTATTTTCATTCACTGCTGTAAAACCTAATGCAGAAGAACATGTGTTGCACATAGAAGATGCGCAAATACTGTTCTTGCAATCCTGTGGTACTCCTGTTACTTTCAGATAGGCATGCAGCTTTTTCTTTCTCCTGGTGTAGTGTTTACTAAATTCTTTCCAGCTACTTGGACATTCATATTAAAATGATATTTTAATTTTAACTTGGTCGGTATAAATTACAATGCCATATGAAGGCTCTAGCCCCAGATATGTCAGTTTCTGGTATATTCTTTAGTTGATGTATTTCTAGGATAGTTTTTAAGTGATTACAAAATGTTCCTAGTGATTGGTTTGACTATGACTTGGTAGTCTTGGCCTGTCTGTACTATAAAGTGTGACTCTAGCCTAAGCTTAAGTTTGTCGATGTTATGTTTGTTGTGTAGGTGCCAGAAGTTTACTCCTTTAGTATGTCAGTATTGATATCTGTCATCTGGAAAGCAAGAATCTTCCTGAAATTTACTAATAAATTTAATACTACTGCCTAGAAATAACAAATGGTTCATTTTTTTGGGGGGGGTGAAGTACCGGAATACTGTTTGGTCACTTACCTAGTGGCTTAAAGGAACTAGAGCATCTGTCCGAGGGAGCCGTTTAGTTTCCTCCCAGCACTTATGATTGAGCCTTTTGACTATTTCAGAAGTGGGATCGGAGAAGTTTGTCTTTGTTCTCTTATCTCTTTTCAGGTTGAAGTTTAGGAGATTAACTCATTTTGCCCATTTTCCCATTTCATTTTTACTCGAGGCAGTAACTGGGGCTAAAGCTCTGGGGAGGCACTTGGCTGTGCTTGCTGAAGTGTTTCCAGTGGCTGGACTGTCTCTGGCAAATAAGTGCATTTCGTTTAAAGCTCTTCAAAGCTGTGTAAATCTTGGCAGAACCCCATAGAAACCATAGTATATAATTCCTTTTAAAACGACTGTATTATTAAATGAAGAATTTGGGGTAAAACATATTGCTTTAATGGTCTTAATAATACTGTTTAAAAGGTCCTTCTACATTAATATTCAAAATATTTTTGGTAGTGATGGAAATCCTGTGCATCTACCAGTTCAAAGGTAGACTTTCCCAATCTTTTGGGATCTAGCAAGGTTCGTTTTAGTCTTACCTGCAACTGTCCCTGCAAGAATGTGGATTTGAAGTTTTTAATAAAGTTAACCAGTTTGTGTATTTCTGATAAATAGAGGAGAATGGCATTTGAGTAATCAGAAAATACTACCTTAAAATAATAAAAATTATTTAGAAAATGATGGCATTATAATGCTTTCAAAGCTTAATGATGTTAATTAAAATTATACAGTTACTGACTAGTACTTTTTTTATACCTATCCCCAGGGAAGGAAGAATATGCAAGATGGTGCAAATGATGGTGAAATTCCAAAATTTGATGGTGCTGGTTATGATAAGGATCTGGTGGAAGCCCTTGAGAGAGACATTGTATCCAGGAACCCTAGCATTCATTGGTTAGAGTCTTTCAAATTATTGAACTAAAGTAGAGGAGAAAATAAGTTATAGGTTGAGCTGGTGTGAGTTTTCTCTTGTTATTCATTAATCTCATTATGACCACATCTATAATATGAGAGTATAGATTGGCGGGAGAGTTTCTGTCGAACATAACCAAGGACATTTTACATGTTAATTTAAAGTCGATGTAACTGATGAAAGTTGTTAATTGAATGACATGTCCTTATTAATAACTAACTTTTCACTGATCTTTTTATGCAGTAAGAATTAGAATATTAATATGTGAATAATTTCATAAATTAAAAAAAAATTTAAAGAATTAGTTTTGACCATAAATCAAAGGTCCCTGAATAAACCTTATGAAACTTTGCTGTTCTTTCGAAGGGATGACATAGCAGATCTGGAAGAAGCTAAGAAGCTGCTAAGGGAAGCTGTCGTTCTTCCAATGTGGATGCCTGACTTCTTCAAAGGGATTAGAAGGCCATGGAAGGTCAGAATTTATTAAATTGGTTTTGGTGTAAGAATTTGCTTGTATCAGAATGAAAGGCAGCATTGCTGTAGTTTTTAATGTATTTAATGCATTTTGAAAAGGTTGGGAGAAGTTTATGTACACCCCGAACACCCGGATTTGAATTTGTAGTGTGATGTGCTGCATCTGCATGGCAGGAGAGATGGGCTTGCAGTGTTGAAACTATATAGCCTTTAGGTAAAGTCACTTTCCTCAGGGGTGCTGAGCTAGAGATTAGTTTTAAGAATTTTCTAGATGTATGTTTTTGTAGATAAAAAGTTAAGCAGATTAAGCAGAAATAATACATAGTTTTTTAGAAGAAAGGTTTGGTCAAAGAGTTATTTTTCAAAAGTTGGAATATTTCTCACTGATGGTTAATTATTTTCATTTGTTTTACTTGTCACTGACTTGAAGCTCATTGTTAACTCTTTTATAGACTACATTTTGTATACTTTTGAGGTTTCACAAATTTTTTTTCTAAAAAGAGGCATTTAGCTGTGTTTTAAAGAACAATTTCTTATGTCATTACAAAATATGATCTGACTTTATCAATTTATTTAGTCCTTGCTGTGCTTTTGTAGTGTTTATTGGCAAACTGGATTAAGAAAATAAACGTAAAGATATATTTCCAAAGAGTCTTATTCCTGACCTAATGCATCTTTTTCTTTAACAGTAGAATAAAATTCTTGAATAGAACTTTTACATTTTTTAAAAGGTTATGTTTGAATTTTATAGGGATTTGTGAGAATATTTACTAGAATGGGACAATAAATGTATTTTATTTATTTTTTGAGATTGAGTCTCACTCTGTTGTCTAGGCTGTTAGGCAATGGCACGATCTCAGCTCACTGCAGCCTCCGCCTCCTGGGTTCAAGTGATTCTCATGCCTCAACATCCTGAGTAGCTGGAATTACAGGTGTGTACCACCACACCAGCTAATTTTTGTATTTTTGGTAGAGGCTGCATTTTGTCATGTTAGCCAGGCTGATCTTGAACTCCTGGCCTCAAGTGATCCGTTCATCTTGGCTTCCCCAAGTGCTGGGATTACAGGTGTGAGCCTGATAAATATATTTTAAAGAATACTTGAAAATAAGGAGGCCTCAGAAATTTTTCACATTTATAAAATTTGTCTCAAAACTTAAATTCCAGAATTTCAGAACTGGAATGAGTCTTTGAGATCATCTTAAATCCCCACTATGTCACCGACTAGAAAATTGGAGTCCAAATAGGTTGCGACAACCATAATAGACCTTTAGAAAATTTAAAATTCAATGTGTCTCAGCTTCTTATGTTAATATGTGCCTTCCCTCAGCAGCACACTTCCTTCTGCATGGTGTGATACTATTCCTTTATCCATCAGGCACTTGTTTAGCCCTTTTATTTTGTTTTTCAAGACATAGTCCTGAGCTGTGAGACATCCCAAATAGAGAGTTGGGCACTTACAGGTAGCTTTCAGTGTTAGTCAGTAGCAGAGCCTAATGGGTGGTACAGTCCACATGTGCTTGGAGAGCGAACACGACATGATTAGAGAGGGTTTTATGCTGAGGATGTGGGATTCAAGTGGCAATTTGTAGGGTTGTGAGGATTTCACTGTGTTGGAGGAGACATTTTGCAGTTGTAGGAACTTGAGTAGGGGATGAATGACGTGAGCAGTAGAATATAGTGAGAAAGTGTACATGTATTTGGGAAATAGATGCATTGAAGTTTTGTAAGGAAAGCAGCATTGGTAAGGGGCACAGATCCTGGATCCAGACTGGGTGCATACGAATTCTAGCCCTTTCCACTTACTGGATCTGTGATCTTGAGCAAGTTACAAAACTTCTGCGTTCCTCAGTTTTCTTATCTATAAAATGGGAATAATGTTATCTCATGGGATATAGTGAGGTTAAAATGAGTTAATGAGACAGCATCTGAACTTAAAACTTATAAAGAAGAAGCTCAGATCCTGGATCCAGACTGGGTGCATCTTGTAAGTGTTGAAAAAATAACTTAGTGGAAGATTCAAATGGGAAGGAAGGTTGAGGCCAGATTGTATTTCCCAGGAACTTGGTCCTTTTTCTATAGGCATTTGGGAGACCTCTTTGAGCAGGTAGGTAGCATAGTTTAAACTCGTGAGTTGGGGAAAACAGTCTGGTTGCAATGAGCACAGAAAGACGGGAGGCAGAGAGCATGTTCAGAAGTGATTGGCAGTAGTTAAGGCTTAAAATTCTAAGAACTTGAATTGGGATGGTGATTAGGAATGGAAGGACAGATGCTAGTGATATTTAATGAAGGAAGTTGGTAACCTTTTGAGTGTAACATGTATGTCAAGATGAAGGCAGGGCAAAGAAAATTGGGTTTTGCCTATAGCAAAATAGTGATGATAACGTAAATGTGGAGCTCAGGAAGGTGAAAGACACTGGTTTATTCTTCTTGATGAAAGTTCAGCAGGAGCAGGGGGTGCATCTGGGGAAAGAGATAAGGAATTACTTTTGAGTGTGAAATTTTGGTACAATATTCATGTAGAAATGCACCAGGTTAGAAATACAGGGATGAAGCTTATGAGAGCGGTAGAAGATGGAGATAGTAAACGCTTTTTCAAAAATACATCTCTGGGACAAACATTTCTCTAATAGAATAGTAGTGAGCTTCTTCTTTATAAGTTTTAAGTTCAGAAAATCATACTCAGAAAATGAGGAAATGCCCAAGGAATAGACTACTGTACTTTCAGTGGCTGAAATATATCCTTGAATCAGTCTTACATTGAGACTCTATTTATCTATCCTTTTATCATCCAGGCTATCTTAGCACTTCTCAGACTGTACCATAATTTAGCTATATTTTCTAATAGATTAAAAGTCTCTTGAGGATTTATGTGTGATTCCTGACAGAGTCAACTTTTTTTCCTCAGGGCCTAGTACTTAGTAAGCATTGGATAAATTTACACTGGGTAAATACGCATTTATTGAGTATTTACCTTGTGTTAAGTGATAGGCTAAGTGCAGAGAATACCAACATGAGTGAATAACAGCCCCCAAGAAGCTCATGATCTTTGGGTGAATAGCATATATTTAATGGACACCATGTGTTAAGTGCAGTATTTGTTGAGGACAGTGTGACTAGTGTCTGATAGAGTAATGAACATGTTGCTATGGTAGGAGAGAGGAAGAGGGACTTATGTCTGCTATGGAGAATAATAACAGGAATAGCCTCCCAGAGCAGGTGATTCTGAGCTGAGACTTGAAAGATGAATAGAAGTTCAGCAGGCGGATATGATGAAGAAAGGCTTTAAGGCAGAATGGATGTCATGTACAAACACATGAAAAGTATAAGAGAACATAGTATATGTGAGGAATCTTCTGTAGTTCAGTGTGGCTGGAAGTATAGAGTGTTTATATGGGACATAGTAACAAAAGGCACTGCTAGAATGGTCGATGTGACCTACTTCTCACAAAGAGCCCTGCATGCCATGCTAAAGATGTCAGTGAGCCCTTGAAGAGTTTTTAGCAGGAGGGTGATTTGCAAGTGTAGGAAGATCTCTTTTCTGTAGCAGTATGGAGGATAGGTTGGGGATGGGCATAGATGGATATGGAAAAGAAATCTGATCAGGAGGCAGTTGAAATAATCTAGCCAAACAGTGAGGACAAGTGCCTGCACAAAGGCATTGGCTTTTTGGCTAGTGAAAAATGAATGAATTTGTGAGGGATGTTTAGAAGGTATAAGTGACTGACTATTTACAGGGATGTGGGAGAGAGACAAGTTATATGACTCCCAGATTCCAGGCTTGAATGGAAGGCATATGCAGTGACTTCTGACATCACCTATCCAGAGCTGGGCCAGACTTCACAAGGTTGAGAGCTCGGTTTTCTGCAAGACCACCCTCACTTCAGACACTAGCTGCAAACTTGGGGGTCCCCAGGTCACTCTTATGACCAACTGGCTACAAAGTCAAGGGGTTCCCACTACCCTCTCAGGTTTGATTATTCTCTAGAATGACTCCTTACAGAAGAAAAGGAAGCCTTACAGTTGAGCCCGGGACAGCATAGGCGTGGACATTGTGGGTCCCCTTACACGTGGCTTTTCTTCTGCCTCTGCCACCCCGGAGGCAACAAGACAACCCTCCTTTCCTCCTCCTCCTTAGCCTATCCAAGGTGAAGAGGTGATACACTTCCACTTAATGAATAATAAATATATGTTCTCATAATTTTCTTAATAACGTTTTCTTTTTTCTAGCTTACTTTATGGTAAGAATACAATATACAATACATATACAAATACATGTTTATCTACAATTTTTATTACCAATAAGGCTTCAAATCAACAATAGGATATTCATTGTTATGTTTTTGGGGAATCAGAAATTATATGCAGATTTTTGACCGTGTTGGGGATTGGTGCCCCAACCCCTGAGTTGTGCAGGGAGCAGCCATACTCATGGTAACAGTGTTACTATAGCCAAAGTATATAAATCGGAACCAGCCAAGAGGGGAAACTTACAGGGCGAGGTCTGGAAGGATACTGAAAGTGATGCTTTTGGCCTCTCTTCCTGGAGTCAGGTTGCTTTATTCTCCTGGATGTGTGACAATATGCAGATTATTGCAGCACATGGACACGTGACAGTACTGCTATATGGATGTGGTTTGGATATTTGTTTCACCAAATCTTATGTTGAAATTTGATTCTTGGTGTGTGGTGTTGGGAAGTGGTGCCTAATGGGAGGAGTTTGGGCATGGGGTAGATCTCTCATGAATGGCTTGCTGCCGACCTCGTGATAATGAGCAAGTTCTCACTCTGTTAGTTCTCATGAGAACTGGCTGTTTCCCCTCTCTCTTGCTTCTGCTCTTGCCGTATGAGTTCTGCATGCTGGCTCCCTTTCACCTTTCTCCATATGTGGAAGAAGCATGAGGCCATCACTAGAAGCTGAAGGGTGCAGGCACCATGCTTCCTGTATAGCCTGCAGAACTGTGAGCCAAATAAACTTTTTTTTCTTTAAAAGTACCTAGCCTCAGGTATTTCTTTATAGCAACACAAATGAACTAACAGAAATACACAGAGTATTGCCAATTAGGGAAGCTCACGTAATCAATTGAATCGTTGCCCATGGTTCTTAATCTCTCCATTTTGTGTATATACCACATTTTCTTATTCCATTCAGCCATTGTTGGGCACTTAGGTTGATTTCATATTTTGGCTATTGTGACTAGTGTTGTAATAAACACAGGAGTGCAGATACCTCTTCAATATATTGATTTCCTTTTTTTTTTTTTTTTGATATATACCCAGTAGTAGAAATGCTGAATCATATGATAGACCTGGTTTTCATTTTCTGAGGAACTTCTGTATAGTTTTCCACGGTGGCTGCCACCAACTGTATAGGAGCATTCCCCTTTCTCCATATCCTCACCATCATCCGTTATTGCCTATGTTTTTGATGAAAGCCATTTTAATTGGAGTGAGATGACACCTCATTTTGATTTTGACTTGAATTTCTCTAACCATTAGTGATGTTGAGCATTTTTTCATTATCTCTTGGACATTTGTATGTCTTCTTTTGACAACTGTCTATTCAGACCTTTTGCCCATTTTATAATTGGATTGTCTTTTTGCTGTTGAGTTGCTTGAGCTGCTTATATGTACCGGTTACTAATCCCTTATCAGGTGGATATTTTGCAGATATTGTCTCCCATTGCAGTGGTGTCTCTTTGTTGATTTTTTTTTTCTTTGCAGAAGCTTTTTTTTGATATAATCTATCTGTTTTTGCTTTGGTTGCCTGTGCTATTGAGGTCTTACATACACAAAAAATCTGCCTGGACTGATGCCCTGTATCATTTTCCTAGTTTTTTCTTCTAGTAGTTTCATAGTTTCAGGTCTTTAATCTATTTTGATTTGATTTTCATATATGTTCTTTAGTCCATTTTGATTTGATTTTTGTATATGGTGAGAGATCAGCATCTAGTTTCATTCTTATGCATATGGTTATCCAGTTTCTCTAGCACCATTTATTGAAGAGACTGTTCTTTCCTTAAGAGATTTTGTAATGTGACAGATTAAAGTATATGTATATTCTGAGGTGAAGGGCCAGTGGACAAGGAGATACAGGAAAGAGAGAATTTAATTAAAGGAGTAATGTCATGAGGAGGTGAAATTTATAAATGTTGTACAGTAGCTGTGAACAGATGCTAATGTTAGAAATTAACTCCTGTAGGAGGTGGCCACATTAATGACATTATAGGATGCCCCTCTCAGAGAGCATGAAAAAGTTATGGAAGAAATAAGAACTTTGCTATGGCTATGCCTGTAGCATCAGTTGGTCATTTTCATGGTTTTTAAAATCTCAGTCTCATGCAAAGCTGAAGACTCCATAACAAAGCAAAAAAATGTTTTTGTAAAACTAATGTTTCAAATCTTAGTGATTCCTGGTTGATTTCTGAATCAAAATTCTTTAGCCACCATTTGGACAGTTTCTGAATTTGGAGTTTATGAAACTTTGACATACACAGTTTTCAAAGCTCAAATCCCCAAAAGTTTGTCAAGCCAAAGTAGCAATTGGATCAGAATTTCCTCTTAAGGAATTACCAAATATTATGCAAAAAAAATTTAATGTGAGCCATGTGTTTAAACTCCATTAAAAGTGCTAGAAGAAAATAATTATTTAAATATCCATTAGTTTTTAAGACTAGAAGATTGGTTTCCTTGAATAAGTTTTATTCCTCTCTGATTTGTTTTTATAGAATACTTTTTTATGTTTGTTTTCAAAACTAAGAAGTAACTAAAGTTTTTATTCTGTATTTATTGGCTCCTTTATCACGATCACTGTTTTATATAAACTGTCTAAAATGATAAAAATATTGCTAATTTGATTATGTTTGAATCACCACTGGAATTTTTCTGTTACCTTATTAACTCATAAATGGGTCTTTATTTTTTACTGAAAGCTGTGTATTATAAATGCACTGTGGAAGATAGGTTTTGTCCCTTATAGAGAAGAGGGTAAGGAATGTGTAATTCTGCTACGTGTGATAGAAAATATCTTATTTTTATTATGTGTAAACAGAATAGTTGCTTTTAAGCAATGCTCAATATTATATGTATATATCATATGTCAGGTTCAGGAAACAGTAGATTATTTCTAAATATATGAGAAAATTGTTGGTTGTCTAGGCTTTTTGTTAGGTTATCTCTGACAACCTCTAACTTGAGACATTTTATGAAATTACATCATTTTTTCTAGCTATAAAATGATATTCTTGTTAAATGCATCATGATTTTACTATGACAATTTCAAGTTTATCTTTTGATGGAAAAATCCTAATGTATGTTAATAGTTGATTATTTAAAAACCTTTTAATCTGATAAATCATTTAATTCATCTTTTGAAATTTCAGGGTGTACTAATGGTTGGACCCCCAGGCACTGGTAAAACTATGCTAGCTAAAGCTGTTGCCACTGAGTGTGGCACAACATTCTTCAACGTTTCCTCTTCTACACTGACATCTAAATATAGAGGTGAATCTGAGAAGTTAGTTCGTCTGTTGTTTGAGATGGTAAGCGATGATATATTCAGATTTCAAAGTAGTGTGCATAGGCCTATGATGCCCCCATCAATTAGGTCTGTCCACCTGGAATCTTTTTGAAAAGGACAGAATAGTTACATTTTAATAGTTCTTGACACACTGATGAAAAATGGGATGGTGGGTTTTGTAGGGTAGTTGGTGTATCGTCAATGTATCTTTTTCTTTAAGGTAAAAGAGCGCCTTTTGGCATCCTATCCGTTGAGGGTGGAAGGAAGAGACTTTGGCCATGTGTGTGGGTTGACTGGTATTTCTGTATCTCTAGGAAGCTGATGGAGCAGAATAATATTTTAATATTTATTTTAAAAATCAGAGCCTGATTTGTCGTTAAAGTTTATTCCTTTTTTGTATGGGATTTGCAGTACCTTAAGAGTGCCTACTTGAGGATTGAGGTTGATTTATTTTTGAAGGTGTTTTTATTATGGAAATTTCCAGACCTGAAAGTAAGCATAGTACAATGACCCCTCATGTATCTGTCACCCAACTTCACCCATAACCTTTATTTTTAGGTATTTCTTTTTTCTCATGGGAACGACTGATTTAGCCTCTGCCATAACCAGATGAGGGCATTACACATGAGAAGTTTCTGCTCTTTTTTGCCATTGTTTTAAAAGATTGTTTTTTAAATACTCAGATTGTTTTATGAGATCATTGAATGATTTCTTTAAAATATTTTCATAAAGGCTAGATTTTATGCACCTACCACGATCTTCATTGATGAGATAGATTCTATCTGCAGTCGAAGAGGAACCTCTGATGAACATGAGGCGAGTCGCAGGGTCAAGTCTGAACTACTCATTCAGATGGATGGTAATTGATACTTAATTATTGTTTCAAAACTCTTATTTTTTAAAAAATATTTTGTGTAAACTCATAATCAATGGATGGATTAGAAGGCAGCCTGAGTTTAATTATTTGTTAATTCACCCACTTGTTCCTGTGCTCAGAGAGCATTTATTGTGTACTTGTTAGAGATCATGCACCATTTCAGATTCTGAGGTTACAACGAAAAAGGCTAAAATGGCCTTCAGTGAGCTTACTATTTGGAGCAAGGGTTCTAGAGGTATGATCTATAGTCCTAGCATTCCTTGAAACCCTTTAAAGACCCCCTTTGTTTAGGCAAAACATGAGTACCAATAAAATTGTTTAAAAATATCCAGGCTGAGGGACTGAGTACAGTGGCTCATGCCTGTAATCCCAGCAGTTTGGGAGGCGAAGGTGGGTGGGTCCCTTGAGGCCAGAAGTTCAAAACCAGCATGACTTTAACATAGCAAAAACTTCAGAAATAGCTGGGTGTGGTGGCGCCTGCCTGTAGTCCTGCATACTCAGGAGGCTGAGATGGGAGGAAAGCTTGAGCCCAGGAGTTTGAGGGTACAGTAAGCTGTGATTGTGGCTCTCCAGCCTGGGTGACAGAGCACCCTGTCCCATAACAACAACAAAATGCCAGCAATATCCAAGTTGTATTGTTTAAAAATAGTCCTGGTTATTCATCAACTGTGGATACTTACTGAATACTTATAATGTAGTATGAGACCCTTGCCTCAGTGAGTGTACTGTGTTAACTTTTGCTAAAGTATGAGAGAAGGAATGAATATGTTTGATTTTTGAGGTGGGGTATAGGAGAAAACATTAGGGGTTTAAAATTGGAAAAGGAAATCACTGAATATTTAGTCAGCTGAATTTCATTGAGGGATACTTGTGACTGTTGTTGATTATTAGTTGGTCAGCTTGATTCTTTGTCATAATGACGGAAGTAGGAGTTTAGTAATAAGAAAATATTATAAGTTTCAGTGAGCCAAGATCATGCCAGAGCACTCCAGCCTGAATGACAGAACCAGACGTTGTTAAAAAAAATAATAATACTGTAATGAACTAAGTTGCTTTAAATCCACTAGTACTTTATTATGGCAGACTAGAAAGTCTTGTCAATAAAGTTTATGGGTTTTTTATCTTTTATTTTTCACTAGATATTTTCTAGAGTTTCTGTTGTGTGACCTGAAATTTTTTATTCTAAAATTTTAATTCTGAAAAGGAGACACTGTGTATATACATGTAGTTGGTTTGGTTATTTTTATCTGTGATTACTAGGGTCATCCTCAAATGTCTTGTTTATTTTTCACAAGTCACTTAAAAGTTTAAAGGACAACATCATTGCAATATAACCTGTCTTTCAGAATTATAATTGCATGCTAGAATAGTAAGTAAATGTGAACCCTCTGTTTTTACTTCTTGAGGAAATAGACTAAAAACTAAAAGAAAAATTTTAAGGAACTTTATGATTTAAAAGAAATAAGAGGAATAAAACAGAACCTATTCTCCCATGCCTTTTCTTTTCAGAGAAAATATATGTTCATTTTCTTAGAGAAAAATGGATTTTTTAATTGGATTAAAATGCTGCACTAGTTCATACAGCTAAAAAAAAAAAAACGAAAAAAAATCCTGCACTAGGTTATGTGAATTCTTCTACTTCTTTGTTTTGTAGTTATCTTTTGATGAGCATGGTTTTGCCATCACACAGAGATCAGACTGCACTGTGTTCATCATTGATTCTGTCACTATGGCTGACGGTTAGAAATGTTAATTGAATGAAAGAATAAAGGGTTGTAAGAAAAACACTATCTTTTCCTCTCTTACTGTGTATAGGAGTTGGGGGAGCTTTAGAAAATGACGATCCTTCCAAAATGGTTATGGTATTGGCCGCTACTAACTTCCCTTGGGACATCGATGAAGCTTTGCGAAGAAGGTTAGAAAAAAGGATATATATACCTCTCCCAACAGGTATGATGACTTCTTTATTTTGAGCTTTCTCTTATGTTTCCCATGTATCTAACTCTTTATTTCATTGACATTCTGCTTAAAGAAGTTTATAGCATCACAAAACTAATGTTTTTTTTTTTTTTTGAGATGGAGTTTCACTCTCGTTACCCAGGCTGGAGTGCAATGGTGCGATCTCGGCTCACCGCAACCTCCGCCTCCTGGGTTCAGGCAATTCTCCTGCCTCAGCCTCCCGAGTAGCTGGGATTACAGGCACGCGCCACCATGCCCAGCTAATTTTTTGTATTTTTAGTAGAGACGGGGTTTCACCATGTTGACCAGGATGGTCTCGATCTCTTGACCTCGTGATCCACCCCCCTCGGCCTCCCAAAGTGCTGGGATTACAGGCTTCACAAAACTAATTTGTAATGGACGCAAACACAGGCCACAGTACTCTACTGAAATTTCTTACATTGCAGAGAAATTCTTGAATTTAGAACAATGTTTATGTTAATAAAGTTGGTAGCACTTTTAAGTTTTCACTTTTAAACTTGAAGTTTTTTTGGATCTTTTTCAAAATAGGCTCTTTTGGAATATATATATATATATACACACACACACACACATATATACACACACACGCCCCCACATACATATATGTATATATTCTTTTTTTTTTTTTTTTTGAGACAGAGTTGCACTCTGTTGCCCAGGCTGAAGTGCAGTAGTGACATGATCTTGGGTCTCTGCAGCCTCCACCTACTAAGTTCAGGTGATTCTTGTTCCTCAGCCTTCTGAACGGGGACTATAGATGTGCACCACCACACCCAGCTATTTTTGTATTTTTTGTAGAGACGGGTTTGCCATCTTGTCCAGGCTGGTCTTGAGCTCCTGGCCTCAAGTGATTTCTCTTGGCCTCACAAAGTGCTGGGATTACAGGTGTGAACCACCATGCTCAGCCTGGAAAATATAATTTCTTCCTGTAATGAAATTTCCATGAATGATTTTTTTCTTTTTATTTTGAGATAAAGTTTGCATAGAATGAAATGTACTTAAGTATATAATTTGACAAGTACAGATCTATACTCCTGTTTAATCAATACCCTAATCAAGATGTAGGGCATTTATATCATTCTATAAAGTTTCTGTGTGCCCCTACCAGCTAATCCTCCAATAGGCATTCAGTGTACCTGATTTTTATCACCATAGATTAGTTCTGCCTCTTGTTAGACTTCATATAAATGGAATTATGACAGTGTGTACTCACTGTATTGAGGTACTTTCACTTGAAGTTCATCCATGTGATCACATGTATCAGCAGCTTATTCCTGGTAGGATTATGCCACAATTTGTTTATTCTTCTTTTGATTGGTATTTAAGTTATTTCTAGGTTTTGGGCATTATTAATAAAGCTACAGACTTTCTTGTATATATCTTTTTCGTGGATGAATGTGTTCAGTTCTTTTGTATAAGAATAGAAAAGATGGGTCATAGGGCAGACATATGTTTAGCTTTATAGGAAATACCCAAACTGTTTTTCAGAATGGTTGTACCATTTTATATTCCATCATCAATAAATGAGAATTCACATACTTCCATATCCTTGCAAACATGTGGTGTTGTCAGTATTTTAAGTCAATCTATTAAGTATGAAATGCTGTCTCATGATTTTAATTGGTATTTCTCTGATGATTTATGTTAAGTACCTTTTGTGCTTTTTATGGTCATTGGTATACTTTTTGTGTAGTGTCATTTCAAGTCTTTTACTCAGTTTTTAATTGGATTATTAGTTGCTTTCTTAATGCTTTTTATGTTATTTATCAGATCTGTGCATAGTGAATGTTTTCTTCCAGTTTGTAGTTTGCCTTTTGATTTTCTTTATGGTATCTCTTAATAAGCAGACATCCTGTTGACAATTTTTTTAAATGAATAGTACTTTTTGTGTCTTAAGAAATCTTGTCTATCCCAAGGCTGCAAAGCTTTTCTCCTGTTTTCTTTTGGAAACTGTATTTATATCTGTGATTCCTCTTGAATGGAGAGAGAGAGAGAGAGAGAGAGAGAGAGAGAGAGAGAGAGAGAATGTGTGTGTGTGTGTGTGTGTGTGTGTGTGTGTGTGTGTATGTCAGGTAGGAGATGAGTTTCATTTTTTTCATATGTGTATGCAGTTGTAGTATCACTTTTTGAAAGGACTTTGCTTTTTTCATTAAATTCCTTTGGCACCTTCACTGAAAATTATTTTGTTGTGTATATGTGTGAGTTTATTTCTGAATACTGTTCTTTTCCTTTGTTTTTTACATACACACATATGGTTATCTAAGTTACTTGTTTTTTTCTTGAGCAAGCTTTGGTAACTTGTGTCTTTCAAAGAATTTGTCTATTTCTCATAAGTTGTCAAATGTATTTGGATTTGACCTAATGTGAATGTGGAAGCTGATTAAGTAGTTGATGGATGATTGTAGATTTCACATCTGATTCTGGAATTTGAAGTCAGTAAGGAGAACACTTAGGAAGAGATGATAATGTGCCATGGTAAAGTAAGGACAAACTCTACCTGTGGGGATGAGCTCAATCCATGAGAATACATTGGAATCTATTTTGAGCTCTTTTATTCCACTGAGACTCCTGATCTAGATGAATGGGTTTTCCTACAGAAGCAGCTAGCTAAGTGTATACCTGGCTCAAGATTCAAAAAAGCAGAAGGAAGAAATTTGGCAGAAACTACAAAGAGCTGAAAGCACACGTGCGGCCTCACACTAACAAGGAGAACCAAGAAATAAATGACAGTATGCGCCAACTTTCTGAGATGATTAATTTTTGCCTTTCACAGCTCAGACATAATGACTCGTGTGGTCAACACTAACCCAGAGCTATGCAATGAAGAGAATTCTGGGAAATGATGAAATTCCAGCTTCACTTAAGTTGGCATAGTACAAATCTATACACCTTATTTTCCTTTTATTGGCCATAGGATCTGTAGTGATGGCTCATTTTTCATTCCTAATATTACTAATTTATTTTATCTCTATTCTTTATCATTTTTGGTTGAGATTGATCAATATTGTTAATCTTTTCAAAAAACCAAATTTTTGCTTTGTTAATTTTCTTTTTCAATGATTTCTTCTCTCTAATTTTTTTTTGTTTTGTTTTATACTTTGAGCACAATTTATTCTTTCTGAAGTTAGAAATTAAGATTATTGATTTTAGGAACCATCCTCCCCCTGCTTTTTTTAAGAGACAGAGTCTTGCTCTGTTACGCAGGTTGGAGTGCAGTGGCATGATTGTAGCTAACTGCAGCCTCAAACTTTTGGGATCAACAGATCTTTCCACCTCAGCCTCCTGAGCAGGAAGTACAAACACATGCCACTGTGTTTGGTTAATTTTTTTTGTTTTTATTTTTTGTAGAGACAGAGTCTTGCTATGTTTCCCAGGCTGGACTCGAATTCCTGGCCTCAAGCAATCCTCCCAGTAGCACTGGGATTACAGATGTGAGCCACTGTGCCTGGCCTTTTTTTTTCCTTTTTTAAATGTGCACATTTTAAAGCTATAAATTTCTTGTAAGTTCTGCTTTGCTTTTATCTTACAAATTTTCCTATATGCCATAAAGAAAATCAAAAGGCAAACTACAAACTGGAAGAAAATATTCACAATGCCCAGATCTGATAAATAACATAAAAAGCATTAATAAAGCAACTAATAATCCAGTTAAAAACTGGGCAAAAGACTTGAAATGACACTACACAAAAAGCATACCAATGACCATAATATATTTTCTACTATTAAGTTAGAACTATTTTCTAGTTTTCCTTTTTTTCCCCCTTTCTTTGGCCCTTGAGTTATTTAGCACTCAAATTGGTTTGGGAGCCAAATAATTGGGATATTTTCTAGATATCTTATGGTTGATTTTTAATTTAATACCATTGCAGTCAGGAACATACTCTGTAAAGATGTCAGTTTTTGAACTTCTTGAGATTTGTGATTCAGAATATAGTCTATCTTGGTGAGTGCTCCAGATGCAATTGAATAGAATGTTTATTCTGAGCTTGTTATAATATTCTATAAATGTCAGCTAGATCAATTTGGTGTGATAGTGTTACTCAAAAATTAAGATCCTTGCTGATTTTTTAGGCTAGTTTTTCTATCAGTTACTAAGAATGGCTTATGGAAATCTTCAACTATGACTGGGAACTTGTTCATTTCTCCCTTTAATTCTTTCAGTTTCTGCTTTATGTTTTGCTTCATGTATTTTGATGTTATGTTGTTAGCTAAATAAATTATCATTGTCATATGTTCTTGGTCCTCTTACCATTATGAAATGCCTCTTTATCTCCCAGAATATACTCTGACACTCCTCTCTGGAAATACTGCTTTGACTGCTATTAATTTAGCCTTACCATCTTTCTTTTGCTACTGTTGGTGTGATATGTCTGCTATTTATCTTAATTTTTACCCTGTCTATCATTATATTTACAGTGCAGGGTTGTTGTTTGTTTTTGAGATGGAGTCTCGCTTTTGTTGCCCAAGCTGGGGTGCAGTGGTGCAATCTCAGCTCACTACAACCTCTGCCTCCTGGTTCTAGCAATTCTCCTGCTTCGGCCTCCCGAGTAACTGGGACTACAGACGTGTGCCACCACACCCAGCTAATTTTTGTATTTTTAATAGAGACAAGGTTTCACCATGTTGGCCAAGATGGTCTTGATCTCTTGACCTTGTGATCCACCCACCTCAGCCTCCCAAAATGCTGGAATTACAGGCATGTACCACCATGTCTGGTCATTACAGTGCAGTTTTTATAGACAGCATATAGTTGAGTCTTGCTATTTGTCCAGTCTATATCTGCTTTTTGGTTGTTGTTTTTTTTTCTAAGACAGAGTCTTGCTTTGTTGCCTAGGCAGGAGTGCTCTGGCGCAATCTCAGCTCACTGCAACCTCCACCTCCCAGGTTCAAGCAATTTTCCTGCCTCAGGAAAATTGAGTAGCTGGGGCTGCAGGTGTGTGCCACCACACTGGCTAATTTTTTCGTATTTT